ACCTCACGCTTCTTGATAGAACGGGCCCTTTAAGAAAGCCTATCTAGAGCAAAAAATTAAATCAAGGAAAATGAAATGTAAAGGAGGAGAAACGGCTCAGTTGAATTCGCGGCACAGGAGGAAACCATTCTGAGTTAAGAATCGAAAAGGCTGAAGAGAAATCCATGCAAAAGAGGAAAAAGAAAACCTGAAATTGAAAAAAAAAAAATGTGAGTGAAAGAGGACTAGAGGAGAGAAAGTTGAAAGAAAGTTGAAGAAATAAAATGGCGGAAGAAGAAATTTGAGACTCGAATTCCTCGATGAAAAAGGTACAGTCTCCGTTCTAATTTGCTTTCTTTAATTAGATTCATCCTCAATTGGTTTGCTATATTATTGAATTCGTTGCCCATTCTCTTATTTGGTGTTTATGCTGTTAGTTTAGGGTTAGTTTAGAAGGTAAAGCATGCATAATTTTAAGGGTTCCTGTTTTACAAATGTTGGAATGACTAATGCAATTTAATTTATAAATTTATTAAATTTTATTTAATGAAATTATTTCTTATTTTTAATTAACAATAATTTAGTAATTAAAATATCAGAGTGCAATGGCGACTGTGGAATCCAAGTGGAATCCACTGAGGAGGATGGATTCGTCCCAAACAGAAGAATTAAAGCAAAACCGTTCTTTAAGTAATAGTCGTTAGCAACTTATCATAGTTCATATTCAATTGAACTGGATCACATGCTAGAGAGCGCCAAAAAAACTCAGAATTACATCTTTTAGCTACTTATATTTAACATTGATCCTCATTGCTTTCAGTTGAAAGCGCGTTTTTGTGGAGAAGTAGGAAACGATTGCAACAAAAATTGGATTACATAGAAGGATGAATTGAGTATATATCGTAAGCGTTGCACTCCCTAGAGAAGCTTAGATAAGCAGATGTGCCAAACCCTTTTGTTTCTCCATTTAAAAAGAACTAACTCTGAGAGATGAGATTTCAGATTTAGTTTAAACCTTTTGAGACTTCTTAATGAGGCTAATGATAAGTATTTTTTATATTTTAATTTTTATTTTATTACTATTGCATGGATAATATATGGTTTTTAATAAATTTTATATAGTTTTTATTTTTTATGTAGTAAAAGATTTGAATGCATAATAATAAGAGTTTTTTATATTAATTGAATATTTTTTAAAAGTTGAGGAACTAAATTTTGAGAAAAATTTTCTTTTTGAGACCTAAATGAATGGATCTTAAGTTATGAGATCAAAGCGCTAATTTATAAAAGATGGAGGACCAGATCTGCTATTTTACAATTAAAGAAATTGCAAAGAGGGTCAGAAACCCGACACGGGTATAGCGTCGCCACATATTTTGTGGTGTCAACACCAAAAGCATGTCCATTGTCCAGCATTACAATTTCCTGTTTTGTGCTGTGTCCTACTTT